TCAATATTAAACAACTTTGTAATAATGGTATATTAACACCAATTTCAAGTGATCACACGTTAGGTAAAAAAAAGTTGAAGTTAATTTTTATAATTATATTTTTACTATCATTATAGTAGTTCTCTTCTAAAATTATGATTGTAGTAGAGAGAATGAAAAAATCTACATAGCCCTGTTCAATGCAATCGATCTTTGGTAAATACGAACCGGGCATAAAACATTCCTGTCTGTCCCAAGTAGTTTTTAATTTATAAAAAAATTTGATCAATTCACTTATAATTTAAGTATTTCAATTAATCTACAAAATAAATTTAACTCTATAATACTTTTAGGAGAAGAATTTAATTTAAAACCAAAACATTTTTCTGAAAATTCTGGAAATATAAATAATTTAATTTTTGAAAATGTGGATTCTAATAATATTAAGTCCGAAAATATGGATGTTAATCACTATGATAATGAAAACATACAATCTTCAATGAGTTGTTTAAATAAACAACAACAACAGTATAAAACGATAATTGATCGTACTCTGTTATGCCCTGATAATTTTAATTTTAAAGAAAACATGAAACCATATGTTAAAAACAATATAGGTAATCAATGTACCGCAAAACAGAAAAAATTTATTTTAGGTAGGGATGAGACGATTTCAAAACCAATATATGATGAGAAATTTGATTATTCTGAATGGGATCCAGATGTTAATGATTATTTAACGTTTAAAAAGCGAAATAGACGTTGGATTAATGATTCCGGGTTTCTTGATAGTGAACGAAATGATTATACATTAGATAGGCGAGCATCACTGTTTGATTTGTCAAGTGATTTCAATATATCCGTTGAGGCACCATTTGATATAAGTTATAGTAGTGGAAACATTATTCCAAACATGTACGAAGTAGCTTATATATCTTCAAATGAATATCAAAACAAAATAAATTTAAATAACATTGAATTAAGCAATAATAAATGTAATAATGTTTACATGAGTGACTTTACAAGAGAAAAAATAGAAGATTCAAGTGTAGTTTTTACAAATTCAAATACTAGTAGTGAATCTATTAAGTTACACAAAGACAGTAGAATAATAGGATTACCAAATTCAAATTATGCTACTACTAGTTCAATAGGCAATAATTTGAATTATAGTGAATCTGGTTGTTTTTATCAATATAATTATGACAATGTAAAAAAATCTATAAGAAATGATAGAGACAATCTAAGCCCTGCAAGTGTTATTTTTACAAACTCAAGCGCAAGTTATGAATCAGTTGATCTACATGATGATATCAGAAACATAGAAATACCCATTTTAAGTTATAATACTATTAATTCAGAAGACGACAATTTAAAAAATGTTGAATCAAACTATCATTATCAACATAATTATGTCAATGACAATAAATCTATAAGAAAGAACATAGAAGTTACAAGTACTCCTAGTGTTATTTTTACGGACTCGAACACTAGCCATGAATTTAGTAATTTCGACGAGGACATCAGATATATAAAAATGCCCAATTTAAGTTATACAACAACTGATTCAGATAACGACAATTTAACAGACGAATCTGCAGAGATATCTTTTGTAAATTTAAAATAGGTTTAATCATGTTTATAAGACCAAATTAATTTTAAGTATTTAAAAAAACTATAATAGTATACATTTAAATGAATAATTTAAAAATTAAATAATATATTATTTCAAACAAATTTATATTTTAGTTTAATTTGATTTTAGTAAATCACGCCCAATTAATATAATTTAGTTAATTATCTACAATAAATAATAATAATACACTATAAGTTATAGTCATATAATATGAGAATAAGTTTCCCTATTTAATTTCTCTTAAAAAGAAGTTTAATAATATATTAAACTAATATTCCAAGATAATTTTCGAACTTTTTAATGTCAACACAATAAGTATATTAAAATGAAAGTGATTTCCATAATTGACATTCTAGCTACTGAGTTTTTAGTAGCTGAATAGCTTTTGCAAATATACAAAAATTCGTTTTAAAAATTAAATACTATCTACAGATTTGCATGGAAATGTTTTTTAGGGTTTGATTTTTCAAGATACGTAAGACATAGTTAGCTAATAACTCTATATACTTGTTTTACAAGTATGCTTAAATTTTAAGCATACTATTATCAACCAGTTATATTATCTATATAAATAGTTCATTACTTAGGTAACAGTGTTGTGATAAATTAACAATATTTTTGTGACCTATTTTTAACATTGACATAAATTGATTTTAATGTTAAAATTAACTTAATTCCACAAAAAATGTTTTGTGAAATAAATGATGTAATCCAAATTTTTATTTTCATTCATGAAATGATACGTAATGAGTCAAAAAAGTGGCTACTATACATAAAATTACTAATCGTAAGATATTTTTATCATACTTTATATTTTTACAGAAAAATTAATAGACAAAGTTATTCTACACATTTAGGGGAAATGTAGCATGGATAGATCTTTTATAAATGGGTATATATTTATTACAACTATAACATTGTTGGTGAGTATATTAATATTTAATAAAACAATAAAATTATAATTATAATTTAAATAAAATTTTTTTAAAAAATTATTATAAAATTAAAAATTATTTTATAAAATATAAATGTTTTATATCACTCTTCTGACTGATGCATAATAAAAAAAATTCTAAGGAGAATTTTAATTTTTAATATTTAAAAAAAACAGTAGCATATTAGGGTCGTGGCATAGTTGGGACGAGTGTAGATGATATCTGATAGTGATTTAAATCATTTTATATCATTTTCAAAAGAAACGCTTCGATGCAAATCTGTAGACAGTGTTTTTATTTATTAAAAATTGGTGAATTATTCCAGAAGCAAAATGAACTCTTATTAGCTTCGATGCGAAGCTGAGAAGGTATTAATTTTACTAAGATGTGATTTTTTTTTTTTTTATGTCTGTTGCCACTTTTTCTCAGCTCTCACTGGACCGATTTCTTTCAACAATACGTCAAAAGATCACAAATCTAGTTGAAAACATTTCTCTTAAAAATTGAACAATTTTCCCTCGTTCCCCGCAAATGGGAGAAACCTCCAAAAAAATTACAAATTTAAATATCGGTAAATTTTGTCATTTTTTCACTTTTTTTTCTTAAACTTCCATAACTTTTTCAAAAATAAACAAATCAACATAATTTTTTCTATACTAAAACCTTAGATATTTCCCTTTCATTTGATATCATTTTTTTGAAAATGTAACACTTAACCTGCTCATTGGGAGGGATTTAAAATAGTAACTTTTTTACAAAAAATAACTTTTTCAACTTAATTTTTGAAAATGTTCCGGAAATACTGCGTCCTTTAAACATATATAAAATTAAAGCTTATTTTATGTACTACAAAATGAAAAAAAAAAATTTGTCCCTACGACCTAACTTCTATGCGTAAATGGCTACCGTATTCAAAAATATGCTATTTTTCTATTAAAATTCTTGGTTTTGTATTTTATTTTATTATAAGGGGATTATAATGTATTTCATAAATATTATATCAATCTAAATGACATAGTATAAAAAATTAATCGTATTTAAATTTTTTTGTTTCTTTGAAGTTGAGAAAAATAACTTTAAAATTTGAACTAGCTAAATTTCCATTTTTATTAAGTGACGAATGAGACGTATGGTTTTTGAGACGGTAACACTTGAGTCTTTCACGACTGTGGCACTGAATTTTTTTTTAATTCTTTTTGAGTTAAAAAAAAATGTTTAACTCATTTGATTTTTATCTCATTTAGATTCAATAACTTCAATAAATATTATGGATTCCATTACTGTAGTCTCCTCTCGTGAGAAGAAATTCATATTAATATTATTTTGCTATGTGGTTTTTTTTTTTTGTAGCTATCATTTATTTTCTTAGCTCTCATTTGACCTACTTTTTTGACAAAATTTTTTTTTTTAAATTAAACACTATCTACAGATATGCATCGAAGCGTTTTTTATGATAGTGATTTTAATCACTGTCAGATATCATCTATACTGGACCCAACTATGCCACGACCCCACTGTGCCGCCACCCCACTGTGCTGGGTTTTTTTTTTTTTTGTTTAACTTTTACGGCCATTTGCACATAGAATATAGGTCGCTGACACAAATTTTTTTTAACTTATAGTACGTAACATAATGTTTAATTTAACACATATTTAAAAGACACAGTGTTTCCGGAACATTTTCATAAATTAAGTTGAAAAAGTTCTACTTTTTATACGTTTTAAAAGTTTTGATTTCCCACATTTATAGAGAACAAGGGTTTTTTTCAATTTTAAGGGAAATGTCTTCAACTAAATAGATTTGTGATCTTTTGACGTACAGTTGAAAGAAATCGATCCAGTGAGAGCTGTGTAAAAGTGGCGTTAGACAAAAAAAACCACATCATAGTTAAATTAAAACTTTTTCAGCTTTATATCGAAGCTAAACATAAAATAGGTCATTAAATTTATTTCAAACAATATTCCAGTATACAACTTTCTATTTGCGTCATAGATAAGTAATAGTTATTATCGAGGTGGACATAATGCCCATTCACTCAGACCTGTTGGTCCATTGTGCGCTAGATAGGTAATAAGTACATTTTTTCAGTCAAGTTGTAGGTTCCGGGAGAGGAAGAGTAACCTGAGACCGTCCCTATTTCTCTACTGACCTCTCTTTGTAGGTTTGTACATATTGCATTCAAATTAATGTATTAAATTGTAGGATTTATAGGCTATTATACCATAAACATCGTATTTAAGGAGTGGTGTGACGAAGAATTTTTTGTAAATGGGAGCCTATGAAGCCTATGCAAAAAATAAAAATAGTATTAATTAGTCAAAAATACTGGTCAAAACTTTGTTATGGGCAGTTATGAATTAGATTATTATCTGTTAAATAATCTATTTAATTATGTGTACTGTCATTTAAAAAATTAAAATTTCGCTATTATATGAGGTATGATTAAAAAATACCCGGATTTTTCAAATAAAACTTTATTAACTCAATATTATTCTATATACACATTATCGCCTTCAAAATAATCTCCCTGGGAAGCAATATACCGCTCCCATCTTCTTTTCCATTTTTGGAATCATTCCTGGTAGGCACTAATTGGAGTGTCTTTTAGATCGATTTCCGTATTTTGTTTTATGTCATCAATTGTTTGAAAACTACGTCCTTGGAGCGTAGATTTTAAATTCGGAAACAAAAAAAAGTCGCATGGGGCCAGATCGAGTGAGTATGGTAGTTGTGGAACTACTGGAGTCTGATTTTTTGCTAAGAACTGACGAATGAGCTATGAGCTGTGAGCCAGACGTTATCGTGATGCAATATCCAAGAACCACTTTTACAATTTTCTGCCCTTTTTTTTCTAACATTTTCACGTTATCTTTTCATGACTTCTAAATAAAAATGCTGATTTACTGTTTGTCCTTGAGGCACCCATTCACGATGAACTATACCACAAAAATAAAAAAAGGTGATTAACATGGCTTTCACATTTGATCTCACCTGCTTTACTTTTTTGGTTAAGGAGAATTTGCTGACTTTCACTGAAACGATTGACGCTTGGTTTCAACATGATACCCATAAATCTAAAATTCATCACCAGTTACAATATTATTTAAAAAGTCTAGGTCAGTTTCTGCTCTTTCAAAAAGTTCTTGAGAGATGGTCTTTCGGTTTTGTTTTTGTTCATCGGTTAAGAGACGAGGAACAAATTTGGCTGCGATTCGGCTCATGCCCAATTCTTTGGTTAATATTTCTTGACAAGAACCATAATATATTCCGACGTCTTCTGCAACTTTTTTGATAGTTAATCGACGATTATTTCAAATTTCACGAACAAGAGCAACAATTTCATTTGTTTTATTGATCGAGGGTCTACCAGGTCGTTCGTTATCCTTAATGGATGTCCTACCTTCCTTAAACCGTTTATACCACTCAAAACATGTTGTCCGAGACAGAACATCATCTCCAAAAGCTGCTTCAAAAGTTCGAAAGTTTCACCAGAACTTTTCCCTAATTTAGCACAAAATTTTACGCACACACGATGTTCTTCTATTGTTTCCATTTCGAAAATCGATGCATGACTGAAACATGTTTCGTAAAAATGCCATAAAAAAAATGAATATATATTATTATCGATTTCAAACAAATGCTCAAATTCTCGTTAGAAGTTACTTTATTTAATGAAATTATCGGGATTGTATTATCTTAATTGATATAAATATTATTATTAAAATAGTATAAATATTTAACTAAATAATAAATATTAATAGTTCTAACTAAGAAAATAACTGGTTGTTAACAAATTTGACATTTTGTACCTAGGCGATGAAAGAAATAAGGCCAAGAAATGTCTAGTGATAAAATAGCAGTACTTACTCTTCATATCCAGTCTTTACTTTATATTTAAACTTCTTTAATACTGGTTTAAAACATGTTATTCATCAGTAATTTTCTTTATTAGATCATTTTGTATTAAATTAGCTAGTTAATTACGTCTGTTGTCATTTAAAAATATTGTAACCCATATAAGGTATAAAGGATGAATATAAAATATACATTATGATTGATCCATTGAGATAAATATGTATCATAAGTAACAAAAAAATACATATTATTTAAATTTTTTAATTATGTAAAAAGTTTAATTAATTAGGGGAGAAAAAACCATTATATTCTAAAGAAGAATTTTACTATTGTGATACCAGGAATGCACTAATTTTTTTCTGGTTGATTTTATTGAATTATAAATATATTAATAATATATATATATATAATTGCTTAAAACACGTACAATTTAACAAATAGTATGTTTTTTTCATTCTTATGTTGTAGTAATTTAGTCATTAATGAGGAAAAATAATTTTTAGTTTGAAGAAATGGCAATTTTTATAAATAATCAAAAAATTTGTGATAAAAACAAACAACTGATAGTTTTTAATTATCTTCCAAGAACAAAACAAGGATTTGATTATTTATGTTTGTAAAAAAATCATTTTTCTATCTTTATCCTCCATGACGAATTTATTATTTTTTTAGTGAGACGTGCTTCCTTAAATGAACGATCATACTTAATTCAAATAACATCTGTTTTTTGTAACATTTTAGTATTAATTGCTCTATATTATGTAAGTATACTAAACAAAATAAAAAATATTAAAAAGAAAAACGGTAGCACAGTGGGATCGCGGCACAGTGTGCACTTGGCATAGTTGGGACAAGTATAGACGATATTTGTCAGTGATTAAAATCACTATCATAAGAAACGCTTCGATTCGAATCTATATATAATGTTAATTTTAAAAAATTAGTGGTTTATTCCAAAAGCAAAAGTTAACACTGTTGTTTTGAATACTCTTTATGGGCAAGTAAAGGGTCAGATTCTCAACAAATTATATAAAATGAAAGAAAAATATGTAAGGTGTTTATATTTAAAAAAATAATTTTGGTTCGTTCATTTTTCAAAAAGTTATGGCTGCTATAAGTAACAAAAAATAACATAACAGTAGAAGGTGATTTTTTACACGAAATTTACATTTTTTGTGTCAATTACGGAATTCATTTGCATAAAGAAGATAAATCGTAGGAAAAACTTTTTGTTTTATTTTATAGTACGTAAAAAAGCTTTAATTTAACATATGTTTAAAGAACAAAATATTTCCGGAATGTTTTGAAAAGTTAAGTTGAAAAAATTGACTTTTATGAAAAAGTTGCTATTATAAATCCGCTTCAGTGGCAGATAAACAGTCAGGTTTTAAAAAAATTGGTATTAAATGAAAGAAAATACCTAAAAGTTCTATATAAAAAAAGTTATATAAATTTATTCATTTTTGAAAATGTTATAGCAGTTTTTAGAAAAAAAAATTTCAAATTTACCAATTTTAAAAATTGAAATATTTTTCAAGATTTGCTCCATGTAGAGGGAACAAGGGATATTATTACAATTTTTAATGGTAATGTCTTCAACTAGATACGATTTGTGATCTTTTGTCATATTGTTGAAATAAATCGGTCCAGTTAGAGCTGAAAATAAGTGGCAACATACACACACACAATAAAAAAAACCCAACACAGGGGGGTTGGGTTGGGTTGAATTAAAATCACTATCAAAAAAAAATGCTTCGACGTTAATCTTTAGATAGTGTTTAATTTAAAAAAAATGGTATATTATTCCAAAAGCTACATGATCTGCTAGTTCCTTATTAATATCCTGATTAAGATAAAGTATGTCGAATGAAAAAGGGATTATTAAAAAATATTATTTCTCATAAAAAATTGTGTTGATCCATACACTTTTCAATAAGTTATAACATTATACAGTTAAAAATGTAAAAAATAAAATCAAGAATTTTCACACGAAAATAGCATTTGGTAGCCATTTTCACCCTAAAAGAAGTCCAGAGGTCAATTTTTTTTTTCCATAATAAAGTACATTACATTAACTTTAATTTTAAATATATATAAAAGTGTCAGACCTTCCGGAACATTTTTAAAAGTTAAGTTGAAAAAGTTAATTTTTTGTGAAAAAGTTGTCATTTTAAACCCCCCCTGTGGGCAGGTAAAGGGTCAGATATAAAAAAAAAATATACCAAATGATAGGAAAGACATCAAGCATCTATAAAAAAAAATTATATTGATATTTTTATTTTTGAAAAAGTTATGGCAGTTTTTAGTAAAAAAAATTGAAAAAATGTCGAAAATTAGCGATTTTCAAATTTGTAATTTTTTTGGAAGTTTCCTCTATTTACGGAGAACGAAGGAAATTTTTTTAATTTTTGAGGGTAATGTCTTCGACTACATACGATTTGTGATCTTTTGACGTATCATTGAACAGAATCGGTTCGGTGAGAGCTGAGAAAAAGTGGTAACAGACACAAAAAAAAAAAAACACATCATAGTAAAACCAATACCTTCTCAACTTCGCATCGAAGCTAAAAATAACATAGTAAAATTAATATCTTCTCAGCTTCACATCGAAGCTAAAATAACAAGGTTAACATGAGTGCATAATTTTTAAGATTAGGTTATTATATTTATTCATATCTATTTTATTAAATATTTAAATTATACGCAAAAAATAATCTATGCAATTTTTTTTAACTATGTATAAAAGAATATGCCAGAACTGACAAAACCTTGGCAAATATTCTTAGGAAGTAGTTTGGGTTTTGAAACAATATCATTATTATTCAGTTACAAGAAAGAAGGATGTAAGCCAACTATAAGAGAAGTGATATACACTGGTGTTTTGCATAATTTATACCAATATATTAACTTTATTTAGCAAAATTAATTAAAAACATATTAATTTCAGCACACATGATTCACAATTTGATTCATATTATTAATTGGAGGTAGTATACTAATAAGTTATAGTAATTTTTTTTCAAGAAATGGTAATACAATATTTAGTGTGAAATTCAATTAATCATGTTATGTATTATATTGAGTTATATGTATTAGTAATTTCAGTTCAGTAATGGTTTTCAAAGTTTTTGTATTAAATAATAATAATGTGTAAAATATTTAAGTTTGAATATCAAAGTGGAAACCTATTTTTATTGATATAAAACTAATTAATAAAGAAAGAACATTATGATTTACATTGTATAAAAATAATATAATAATATTCTTATTTACATTTTAATATAAATAATTATTATGTAAATATAAAATTTGTTTAATCTCAATATTAGATATTAACATAAAAAACACATCATGGTAAAATTAATACCTTCTCAGCTTCGCATCGAAGCTAAAATAACACTAGTATGGTATCAATCACAAATTCAATTATTAAATTAAACACTCACGTTAGAAACATTTTTACATGTGCCTTGTAAATAATGAAGGGTAAAAATGATGTATATTAGAGAATAATTAAATAATAAACTTGGTGTTATTTTGAACCCATGCTTGATAAATGACACCAAGTTTGAAAATATGTTTACTACAGTAAACAATTTTGCTCTAGTAACTTGATATATTTAATTACAGATTGAAAATATTAAGCTTTTCACACAAAATTACAATTGTTCCCAAAATCATTATAAAATAATGTATATATACCTAGCACATTATTTTATAATTATGATTAATATTATTAAAGTATTAAAGTAACTAAATGATTACTTTGATTATAAAAAAATTAAGTAATAATTAATATTTGTATGTTATTATTAACTACTAATTTTATTAACTCCATTATTATGAGGTTTATATTATTTTTTAAAACTATTTAAAACTATTATCTGCTACGGCTTTCTGTGTTATAACTTGTTGATTAACATCATTTCTATCGAGTCAGTATGCCGCGACAAAGGTACAAATGGTGATGTTTTTAGAGCGTTGTATAACTTTTATGATAGACTTACTAGCTTAACCAGAATTAAATTCCGTTTAAATAGGTTTTATGATTACTAATTATGATTACTACGTACAATAAACTTTTGTTCTTTAGTGATAGTGCAGAATGTTTCCCAATTAACCAATAACTTTTGTGTAGCTTACCTTTTTTTTCATAGTTTCGAGAAACTTCTAAATTAATTTTTACATAAATAATTATTAATTTTAATTACTTTACTGACCAACAATTATTTTATTATTTTTTACAAATATATCACTCATTTGGAGCGATGTTTACATTAATGTAAATCTTTTTAATTACCAAAGCGCACTTTTGACGCCTAACAGACGGCAGGATAAAAGAGTTAAATTCTTAAGAAAAACTAGCATCTCTTCATCGCTTTACTAGCTAATTTAATATAAAAGGGCTAGTAAAATAATCACACCCGCTCATTTTCTCATTCTTTATTCACACATACTCTCATTCTTTCATGTTAAAGTTAATAATGTAAAATCCACGTTACTTTGGTCAACCTTAATTATAAGTCTTACACATTTGTTAAAATAATTAATTCAAACCATAGATATAAATTCAGTATATAACCTCTCATATCAGTATTTTTATTTATTTAAATTAACCATAAATATTGACGTCGACAAGTAACATCACAATTCATCATCTATCTATGAGTCGTTCTGGATATTAAGGTAAGAGTATTCGTAAGACATGCACAATATTTATGTAATATTAAGAAATAGGATAGAGTGGGTAAGAGGTAGGGTTAAGATTAACCCTACCTGAATGAACCTAGACTGAATGAATCTAACTCAATTCATATAACCTAAACCCTTTCCCAAATCCCCTCACCCTTCGCCTTTTTTTATTATACAGAGTGTTCAGTAAATAAGGAAACGAATTTCTATTGTACTCATTGTTTGTAACAATTTAACTGTTTCCTAACTTACTGAACACCCCCTGTATATTACAACGTCTTATCCATATAGAAATGTTATTAATTAAATTTGATCAGCTATCTGTTGATCTTTATAATTATTAAATATTACAGTATTATATACAAACATAGCGATTATTGAATTAATGTTGGTCGGAATATCGGCTGTGTAGAGTAGGTACAAGATAGGGCCAAAAATACTACCTTGTGGAACTCCAGCTGATATAATTTTCCAAGTTAAAGTGTTTACGTTAGGTTATAATTCATGTCTAATGTCATAGGACTTATGGTAAACCAGAGTTCAAGTATGACGCCGTATAGCCCACCATTAAATTTACCTTAGGTCAGGGTATGACATCATAAGCTGCACTTGGATGCATCTGGATATAGTCTCCAATCGGCACTGAGAGTTAAGGTTAACACAGAGTGGCAGTTTCAACGGTTCAACAATTTCTTTTTCATCACATTCACTTAAATATTGATATTTAGATAGACTAGTAAAAAGATGAAATCATGACATATCTTGAACACTTACAACAACCAAGTTACAACATTGGAATAGCAGATACAGCAATAGCAGCAGTAGCAGACTATTAGCAGTAGTAACAGCTAAGTTATAGTAGCAACCAGCAATTGCAACAAACCACCACCTGCTACAATATTAAACCAGTAACAGCCAATATCAATACCGGGCTCTTTATTAACGTGTATATAATAGTATATTTTTTATATAAAAATTCAAAATAAATAATTTGTATTACTTATACGAGACTTATTATTATTGTTTTAAATAAAAGACGGTAGGAGATACCGTTACAGTATAGATAATATCCGATAGAAATAAACAGCAATATCATAAAATATATTTCGTTGCGTACCTCTTAAATTTAACAATAATTTATACGAGTTTATATTATATATAATTTTTTTTACAATAAATTATAAGTATGATGTTTGATAATATTTTTATAGTTTTAAAATATAATAAAAATTAAAGAAAATAGTATCACAAAAATATTTTGTAGATTGCAAGTTATTAAATTTATTGAAACATTATTGACTACACGGTATATTGATAAGAAAAAAAAATGTCAAGTAAGTTTCATTAGAGATGTTTATTTATTATTTTGAATGTTTATATTTTAAAGGAATATTTTTGTAATATTTTATATTCATTTATAATTTCTTATATTTAAGCTAAATATATTGTTAAATAAATTAATGAAAGTGCAATGTTTGAGGAAAAAAATGAATCGAAACATAAAGTTATAAACTATTTACAAATACAATACTTTGAAAAAAAGAAAAAAATTGAAACTTTAAATAATTTATCTAAAGAATTGGTAATTGATTATTAGTATTTTGGATATTTTTATAATAAAACAAAATGTAATTGTTACATCATTGTTATTAAAGATAGTATTTCGCCTGTTGGTAGTTAATGCAGAGCTAATAGGAACTTTTTTTTATAACCCTTTAATTTTAATACTCCTTTGACAATTTGTAACAAACTTTGGTTTGCATTATTTTTCTTTCTTTTTAGAACTAATTATAGTTAATAATTTAAATTGCCTTATAGTCGGTGTACTTGTAGTTAATAAAACTATGGAAAAAAATTAATTTTCTATTATTCATTAATGGATAATGATGCATAATGGACCGGCAGGTTTGAGGGCATGGGCATTATGTTAACCTCACAAATAACTAAAACTAATGAAATAAAAATATTCCTGAGAATTTGTAATCTTAAACAGATGTTTATTTTATAGTATATTTTAAATATACTCTTAAATTTATTCATTAATTAATTTGATGTTTTTTTTTTTGGAAACTTATATTAAAAGAGTCTTGGACAAGAACGTATTAAACATGAAGAATTCCGTTTCAAACTAGTTGAGTATTACGCAGAACATTTAGAGCAAAATTCTAGAGAAAAATCAAAAAACGTTTTGCTTAAATACTATTATTTTATAAAATTCGGCGCCAATGTTGATAATGAATCATTACCACAAATTGAAAAAAATGTTATAAGTGGTATACTAAAACGTATACCTAAAAAGTTGCATAGTAAAAATCTTCCGATGTACATGGACATTGTTATAAATGTTTGTTGATTCTAAATTTATTACTAGGTTTTATAATTTACTTCATAAAAGTTAAATTACTCTTATTTATATTGCTTATTAATATTCTTGGAATGCAATGTTATAATAACGATAAAATTTAATAACAAAATTTAATAACAAAATTTTTATTGGGAAATTAAGTTAATTAACTATGGGACCCACGAAAGTTTTTTAAGAATTAACGTTTTTAATTCATACTAATTGTATTTTTTTTAATTTTAATATACTAAAAATGGTGTATCTATTCAAGGTAATTAAAAAAGTTTAAACCCTTTTTATGATTTTTAAATTAATGCAAATTTAATTTAAAAATATTTAAAAACTCAGTTATTTCAAAGAGTATAGCCACCCAATCACGAAGGACGGTATAGTTAAGTCGGTAACGCGGCAGTTAAGTATACACGCACTATATCGGGTTCGAAACTCATAGTCATGGGTGGCTTTATTTGTTGAGCGAGGGATCAGTAAATGTAGTCGCCATTCCTCTCTCCGGCGACGAACTATCCTCCTTTACCGGAGTACCAGTCGTTAAGAAAACTTCTCTTTTAGAGGAGAAATCGTAATAAGCCTGGAAAATCAATTTAAAAAAAGTTATACATATATATATACAATATAATAACTATTTTAAATACATTTTTTGTGTAATTATATAATATTAGAGTTGTTATTCCAATGCATTAAAAAAAGCTGTGATTGAATTTGCTTTATTTGATTTATACCATTTGCACCAAGATTTAACATCATTGGAATCGAATATTAAAAAAGAATTGCAATTAAACGTACCATTATGGAAAAATTCCATAAAACATGCAAAATTATTCCTTCATGACAATTTATTACAATCTAATCCAACTATAAAAGCGATAATCGATCTTTGGTACAACGATTTTGAGTAAGTTCTGGTATAATAATTAGTATAAAGATATTTTTATATATTACGAATTATTTACTCCATAAAAAATTAATGCAGTATGTATTTTCCTACTATAATGTATCATCTTCATAAGTGTATGTAATTTTTGTTTACTGTTAATAGGGTAAGACATGGTAAAATAACAAGATTAAGTTTCTATGATTTTTCCTTATTTTAGTGAATTTGCGTACAATTTTTCTTATATATCTTGCTTTAACAAAGTATTTTTCTTGTTTACCTCTTTCTTTCTCTATGGAATAAATATTGATTTTTCTAAAATTTTCTATTTTCTTTATCTTTTTCCAAATATGGAATACATGCATCAAATATAACACGATTGTTCGTACACACGTACTATGCTTGTCAATCCCTTCCAATAGTAACGCTGTTTGATCACTCGGTAACTTTCTTATTGCTCTGGATGATACGCCAGTGTTTCGTCTTGGTATCGCTAAATCACCCATTATAATTTGACTATCGGTATTACAGCCGGGATGTCCACGCTTATACGAATGCATAAAAGTTTATTTAATAAGAAATATACATTTTTGTTTTTGCTGATGAAATCCGCAATTAATTGATTCATATTGGATGAAAGAAATGAATCGTCGTTTTACCACTCTTATATCTCTCCTCGTCCCATTATTTGCGTTATTTGCGGTGTTTTTTGTTCCAATCAAAGCAAAAACGCCTCTGTATCTCCGATAATTTTATCGCGTATTTACGAAGTAGTTCATTTGTGAAAAATATCTTGAATGTTTAAATACTTTATTTCAATATTCAAACAATAAAAATAAAATAAAAAAAAATATTGTGGTTTATAATAATTCTATAAAAAAAAAAAATAAAATTGTAAACATAATAAGTAGATTTATTAACTAAAAATTATCAACTGTTCAAAAGAAATCAATACTCTGGAACCACTCGACTAACTTAGAGTAAACTACCAAAGACTTTAGAGAAATGTATGAAAAGAGCTGCTAAATGAAATAGAATTAACTAAAAACGAATTTGGAGATAGATATTAATAAAAATTAATGCTTATAATTTTTACGTTCTTAATTAAATAAATTTTTAAATATCAAAATAATTTTTTTAATTTTAAGTTTCTCTGCACTGTCTACTGATATTCTTCATATTTTAAATTCAATATCATTTAAATTAAAATAAGGATATAGTTAACTAATACACATAGGTTTACAATGATATTCTAACCTAATGTAATATCTAGTTGCAACCTTTAATTTTGTTTGGTGGTTTGATGTCCATTAGAACAATAATATAAGCCTATAATTAACATATAGATAAAACCCAATAAGTATATAATTGTGACATACTTAGTCCAATTAAATTATTTGCATTAATTAAGTTGTAAGGTTTAGCTTAGTCTACCTGGGCAATGTTAATTACAACAAAAACATAAGCATGTAGTTGTCATAAAACTAAAATATAGCTGCAACCCAGTATAGAGATGTAATTTTTTTATTATTATTATTTAATGAATGTTATTTTAAAGAAAAATTAATACTAAATTTCGTTAGGTCGTCACCAATTTTTAAGTTTGAAAAACTAAGAAAAAATAACTCAAAATGTACTGTTAAAGAGTTTATGAACTTTATAAGAGATTCATTATTAAAGGCTAATTATCAAATAAAGAAAGAATGGATTATAAAAGTTGTTAAACTTTTAAAAAATGTAAACTTCTTTTAAAAACTTAAAAATTGTTTCTTGTTATTAATGTAAAAATTATACTTTTATAAAAACAATAATTAAAATAGACAAAGTATACTATCCACATTCCAAAACCTATACAAAAACAAATAGTTTTTTTTGATTATATTGCGTTTACTATGAAAAAAAAATTTCAAGAATACATTGAGAATAATATTGTGGAATTTACAACAATTATGTGTAATCCAGAGGTGAGTTCAAATAATATTTTGTAACAAATAATCTATGCTTATACAGGTGATTTTTTTATCACAACCCACTCAATTACTTACAGAATAATAATAATTTAAAAAAAATTTTTTATTATTATCGTTAGTTACACATTATTCTTGAATTNTATCTTTAGTTACACATTATTCTTGAATTTTTAACTATGTAATACTTTTTAAGTTCATCCCTTATGCCTGGTAAGGGTGTCAACTTTGTTTTTTTAAATGGTAACACATATTTTGTATTTGATAAAATGTTTGAGTTTTTAATTTAATAGTAAATGGCATTTGAATTTTTAATATAACTTTATTAGCTTATTAGATATAAACATTTAAAGTTTCAAAATTTTGAGTTAATATACATGTATAATACACATGGGATTGTAAATACAGGTAGCTAATTGGATTTTTATGACATTGCTGTCTCAGTCACGGATTGTTTATTATCAATTATGATTATCAATAGATATACATTCTGTATTGTCAGTTAGTGTATTTATAAACTCACAACAATGTGCCTTATTACCATTGATAATAACAATGCTGTGTACTTGTGAATATCGATGTCATAAAAATCCAATTAGCTACCTGTAATTTTAATCCCTAGTGTATTATACATGTATATTAACTCAAAAATTTGAAACTTTAAATGATTATATCTAATAAACGAATTAAGTTATATTAAAAATTCAAATGCCATTTACTAT